GGGCAGAGACCCAGTGCTGGGCTCCATCCCACAACCGTGAGATCATGACCTGAGCTGAAATCAAGAGTCGGATGCTCAACCTACTGAACCCAGCAAGTCTTGAGCCACCCAGAAAAACCCTGTTTTTCTGTTAACTCTCAGATTAACACCATCATGAACAGATGCATACACATCTTCGCAAAGAGCTGCCAGATTTAGCGATTAAAAATATATGACACGCATTGAACCGTGCATCCTGTATCCCATCTGGTAACCCTACCTTCGCACCAGCCTTTAAGGTGCTGCCTTAATTAGGTTAGGAGCTGAGAAAAGAAGAGAAGGGAAACCACTTCATGCTACATATTAGTTAACGACTTGGGGATAGGGAAGGGAGCACCAGAACATAATGATGTTATGAGCCCAGTGTGAGGTTATGTTCTTAGAGCATAAATGTGGTAAATTTGGTTGGAATGAAAGTTTGCCTTCCGAATTTCCCCAGCATTGCACAACACTGCTCCATTAAAGTACCTCTATAATTTATGCCTGCATTTGGAATTTCAACACTTACTACGAAACAATTACAAATTAGGCAGGGGGATAAATGTGGGCAAACAACAATGAACAAATAGACATTGTCTTGCACTCATGAGTGATACATTCTGGCAAGGGAAATAAGCAGTACTTACACAATTAAATATTTAATTACAACTGTGAAAATTCCCTTCCTCTCCCACCTCCCCTCCCCACCCTCTCTGCTCCCCACACAAAGGTGTAGAGACAGAAGAGTGTGTCCCAAGTACACACTGATCTGTTTAAAAACTAGTACAGATGAGATGGAAATATATAAGTACAAAGGAAACTAAAAATAAGAAGAAGAAATAAAATCCAACCATGCTACAGTAACTCTAAAATTAAGATCAACAAAACACTGAGAAACAGGGAACAGTCTCAAACTAACACAAAATTTCAGTTGAGAAATAAACTTTTAGCTAATTGCCTATATAGCCATTTCCTAAAAGATAGAATTACTTTTAAAAATGTGGACAAGGGATCCCTGGGTGGCGCAGCGGTTTAGCGCCTGCCTTTGGCCCAGGGCGCGATCCTGGAGACGCGGGATCGAATCCCACGTCGGGCTGCCGGTGCATGGAGCCTGCTTCTCCCTCTGCCTATGTCTCTGCCTCTCTCTCTCTCTCTGTGTGTGACTATCATAAATTAAATAAAATAAAAATTAAAAAAAAATAAAAAGGTGGACAAGATATTTATATATCCACCTTCCTATATAATAGGGATGGTACCAAATAGCCAACTGAGCAGCTCTCTTCTTATAAATGTTCAGGCCAAAAATCTGGACTGCTGGAGTCATCCTTAACTCCTATTTTCCCTGATAATTCATATCAATCCATCAGCACTCCTACTGGTTTATCATTCAAAACATATCTGGAATTTTAATACTTCTTATCATCTTTACCACCTTGGCCTAAGATGACATCATCTCTCATAGGGTTTATAATTATTATTATAAGCATAAAAGATTTCCCTAGGCTATCTCTTTTCCCCCCTCAGTGCAGCAACTGGAGAGGTCTTGTGAAAAGGTAACTCACACTGTGACACTGCTCTTTGCAAAACCTCCAGTGGCTTCCAACAGAAATCAGAGTAACGCTGGAGAGAATCCTTAAAAGGGAGGCCAAGTCTCTCAGAGATCCTGCCCTCCATGGCCTCTGAGATCATTTGCCTTTCTTCCAGGAAGAATTTTCTCTCTCCTTTCCTACTTTATTTGTTACCCATGTTATTTATCATCTAATATGCTACATGTTTTACTTAAAATTTTTGTGATACTGTTAATTGTTTCTCCACTTACTAGAAAATATTTACCATAAAAGCATGGATTTTTATCTGCCTTCACTTCACTTCAGGATTCCTAGAACCTAAAAGAACACCTGAATCAATAAATGCTTGTTGAAAGAATAAATAATAACTCTCAGCTCTGGGGGATCCCTGGGTGGCGCAGCGGTTTGGCGCCTGCCTTTGGCCCAGGGCGCGATCCTGGAGACCCGGGATCGAATCCCACGTCGGGCTCCCGGTGCATGGAGTCTGCTTCTCCCTCTGCCTGTGTCTCTGCCTCTCTCTCTCTCTATCATAAATAAATAAAAATTAAAAAAAAAAGTTTAATAACTCTCAGCTCTGTGTGTGTGTGTGTGTGTATACTGATGTAAGAACCCATTTCATAACCCTTTTGCATATTCCCAATGGACTCCTGGGTGGTCAGCTATCTCTTTCTCTCCATAAAATATATGGATAATAAGTATCTCCCATCCTAATTTTAAAATTCCTTTATACATTCTAAAGTATGTAATTACCCCCTCTAAATGTGGTTTTTGGACTGGTTTACAACTAGAACTTGTTTTGTCTCAGGAGAAGTGTCAGCATTTTCATTCAAACACTGTCTCTAAGAAATTCAATTAAAATAAGAATATGGCAGGGCAGGAGGGATGTAAAGTCTTGATCACAGTCAGTTAAAACTGAAGGAAATAGCTTGGAAAGAAAATAGAAAAGTATTGTAAACATTGAAAAAACAAAATTATCTCTCTTTTAAAATTAAGATGATATACAAATAGTTAAATCTATTGCATGATAAGTTCTTAGAATTAATCAAATAAAATTTATAATAGAAACATAGAAATACAAATTTCCAATAAATACATAAACATATACTCTTCACCAGTGAAGAGGAAAATGTAAATTAAGATAGTGGTAAAATGACTCATACTGTGAAAAGTCTAGCTGAAGATAACTGATAGCAGAAGTCCCAAATTCTTCCTTGTATGAATTTGGGAGACACGGGAAGAACCAGATCATTCTTGGAAGATGTTAACATTTCATAATTATATTGACTAATTGGCTTGAGGTAGGAAGCCTGGAGCACCCCCTCCTGCCATGACACCATGATGTGTCCCAATTTGTTCTCCATTCATGTATGCTTTTTTTTTTTTTTACCCTGATTAGTTTATTTTTGGTATGCTATTCTCAAACATTAATTTAGAACTTGATGCCATTCTATAGTGTTAGTGCTGGGTAAAGATGATTTCAAACCTCTTAAGGACAGGGTAAGATATTTGTATGACCAGGCTGCCAAAGACATGACCTGGGAAGAATCTCCTTAAAAATATCATGACATTGGGGATCCCTGGGCGGCTCAGTGGTTTAGCGCCTGCCTTTGGCCCAGGGTGCAATCCTGGAGTCCCGGGATCGAGTCCCGCGTCGGGCTCCTGGCATGGCGCCTGCTTCTCCCTCCTCCTGTGTCTCTGCCTCTCTCTCTCTCTCTATCATAAATAATAAATAAATAAATATTTTAAAAAATATATCATGACAAAGAGACTCCTAACTCTGGGAAATGAACAAGGGGCAGTGGAAGGGGAGGTGGGCGGGGGGATGGGGTGACTGGATGATGATCACTGAGGGGGGCACTTGATGGGATGAGCACTGGGTGTTATACTATATGTTGGCAAATTGAACTCGAATAAAAAAAATACATAAAAAATATCATGATAAGAACTAAAGGAATTACAAAGGTGAAAAACAGATCAATGTTGACCCCCACCCCTACTCCCAAGGTAGACATAAGACTCATTTTCTAAATTATCGGAGAAAAAAATATTTTAACAGAACTAGTTTGAAATTACTTATCTATATTATTATGTTCCATTATAGAAGGAGATGGATTACATAGATGTTTATGGTAATAATCTTGTTTCAGAAATATTTAAGGAAGACAATGGCCCTTCCTAAAGCCTGGTCAGGCAAAAAGAAAGTGTGAGGCCTAGGTTATGTTTCTGATGGTATCTCAGCCATTATTGTGGCCCCATGTTTTATTTCCTGTGACAGCCCTATTTCATTAGTAGCAGATTCAGTATCATTACAGATGTGAGGCTGGGAAATGATCACAATGAAACCATTACACTGTATAATTGTGTTAGCTGTTTCATTTTTTCTTCTTCTCTAAAGGCCTATCGTGTGCTTGCCTCACAAAGAAAATTCATGCATCTGGGAAAACTGCAGCAGGCTGTGTTTGCCTGGGTTTACCTCTGAGATTATTTTTAACTGACTTTGGATTTTCTAGAGGATTTGTGTAAACCTGAAATTGGGTAATAAAATTGTAAAACAAACCAACAAAAAAACCCAACACAGTAGGTTGGACAATTATTTCACATAAACCATTCAATTGTTGGATGGAAGTTTGTTGGAACAAAGGATTGAAGAGTTTGGGTCTTGGCATTAAAGAAGAAAAGCAGACATGTTTGGTTTGGGGATAAAATTCTAAGCAAGTGCTCTCTCTAGCTACAAGTACAATGATTCCTATTTTTCAACAATTTATCTTACTTTGCTGAAACATTCTTTGATTTCTCCCCTACCCTCTGTGCATTCTTTTCTTTCACAATCTGTGCCCATCAAGGCTTCAAAGCCCATTTCAACTATTTCCAAAGGAGCTATTGGATGTACCAGAAATTTAAATTTATTACGAAGGTTGTAATTTTATTCTACTACTGATGAAATGCTAAAACTAAAAATTAATAAAGTACATCCTCACCGTCCAAATAAAGAAAAAGAAAACTTAAAACGTTCATAAAGCCACTGGCGGTCATGTCAAAGGCCTCTCAATAAAATTTCACTTTGCATGTTTTGATTGCTTGGAACATCTTGGGAAAGTGTTATATATTACATTGATTTTTGTTCCACTGTAGTCCTCTATGAAATGTCATTTTACATGTGTATCTTAATTCCTATGAACTTCATTCTTTCCTGAGATACATATAGTGATGTAGTATTTGAAATACAATGACTATTATTAAGACTTAAGATTGCCATTTGTATGGCAAGCTCACTTACTTTGTAAACTCTGTTCACACCTGAAGATTTAGTTTTCCCTCATGTTTAACATCTTGTCTGATTTTCCAAAATTTACACTTTGATTTTTATTCTCAATATGTGCACTGTTCACAAACCATATAAAGAAAATGTGTCCTCTGCAGCCAATTAAGCTGACTGTGCTCTTTCCTCATGGGGGCCCAGTGTGCCAGGGCTGCAAACAGTAGACTCCTTGGTATTGTATGCAGCCTGTTGATTGTATGGGTTGCCCTAAGCAGCCTTGGAGACAGCCCTTTCCAGTGGACTTTGAGGTCTGACCTCATGCCAAATCCAATTAGGCTGCAGACAGTCATGTAGGGTGCCTTTGGAAAGCCCCAGGGCACAGTAGCCAGGGGCCACATTGGCCAAGTCATCATGTCCATCTGCACCAAGCTGCAGAACAAAGAGCATGTGATTGAGGCCCTACATAGGGCCAAGTTCAAGTTCCCTGACTGCCAGAAGATCCATAGCTCTAAGAAGTGGGGCTACACTAAGTTTAATGTGGACAGATTTGAAGACATGGTGGCTGAAAAGCAGCTCATTCCCGATGGTTGTGGTATCAAATACATCCCTAATCGTGGCTTCCTGGACAAATGGTGGGCTCTGCACTCGTGAAAGCCTCCACACTGCCCCCTCCCTATTCATGCCCACCAAGAAATCCTACTTCCTGTCAAAAAAAAAAAAAAAGTGTCCTTTGCCATTAATTTTCTGTGTATTAGACAGGGTCCTCCAGGGAACCCTGAAAGTTAATAAGGAGTTGGTGCATGCAATTATGGAGGCTGGGACGTCTCACAATCTTCCACTTGTAAGCTGGAGACCCAGGAGAGCTGATGGTGTCCTAGTCCAAAGGTCTGAGAATCAGGGGAGCTGATGGTGTCAGTTTCAGTCAAGGGCAGGAGAAAGACAATGTCTTAGAAAGGGTCAGCTTCTCCCTTCCTCTGCCTTTCATTCTATTCGGGTTCTCAACAGATTGGATAATGCCCACCCACGTTGGAGAAGGCAATCTGCTTTGCTACAACCATTGACTCAAATTCTAATGTCACCAGGAAAAACTCTCACAGACACACCCAGAAGTAATGTTTTGCTAAATATCTCAGTACTCCATGATACAGTCAACATCTAAAATGAAGCATCACATTCTGTTAATTTACACAATACTACTATTTAGATTCCCTGTGCTTATGACAGCAATACCATCCTGGCACATATCTCTTCTTTTCTCCTTGTCCCTCCAGACTATTTAGAGTGACTTTTTTTTTTTTAACTTAAGTCAGGTTATACCACTTTTTGGCTCATAACCTTATAATTGTTCCCCATTTCAAAGTGACAAAAGCAAGTCCTTAAAATTTCCTTCAGGTCCCCACATGATCTAGCCACCTAGTTTCCTCCTTTCCCCTTACCCTTCTTCCCTCTCTACTTCTCTGAGGCCTCTTTGGTATGATTCATAGTCAACTTACTCTTGATTACTGTAACCATAATTATACCTCTTCCTGTAATGCTGTTCCCAACATAGTCACATGGCCTATTCCCCAACAACGGTCTCCAACTGATTTCAAAATCCATTGATGATTCCTGACTGAAACAATTGTTAAAATTAGAGATCAATGCAAAGCCACGATTTGATAATTCTGTCATTTCTTGCATATTTAGCAGCTTGCATTCTTCCAGGAAGAAGAGCCCCCCTTCTCCCCCCACCCATATTTTGAGTAACTTAATGGACTCTAGATTCTGTTTTTAATTAAATGTTTTATAATTCATTGTTGGCTTTTTTTGTGCTTAAATTTCCCCATATTTGGCTAGTATGACTCTCTTTGAGTGGATTCCCTCATCCATTTGTTCAGTTTTTGAACACATCTTTGCTTTCTGCACAAAATAAGATGGACTGGGCTTGCCATATACCTTCCCTGTGTCAGACCTACAATCTTTCTCCAAGAACCTCCAGTTCACTTTGGTAAGAAATGGTGCCTAAGAGCCACTACCTAAGGATGAAGTGCTCTAGCCATTACAGTGTCACTGTTTTTTCTTTTTCTTTGTTCTCAAAAGTTCTTTATATTAGTTCTTTATACTGAATTTTACATATATTTCTCTTATTTTCTCATTTGTCTCTTGTCACTGCAGATGGTGTTTTTATAGGTTATGTAGCATCTGGATTTTGAGGTTTTTAAAAAAATATTTTATTTATTTATTCATGAGAGACACACAGAGGGAGAGGCAGAGACACAGGCAGAGGGAGAGGTAGGCTCCATGCAAGGAGCCCGATGTGGGACCCCATCCCAGGACACCAGGATCACATCCTGAGCCAAATGCAGATGCTCAACCACTGAACCACCTAGGCGTCCCTGGATTTTGACTTTTAATTGGTCACAGTTAAGTTCCCAGACTTGGGGGGAACCTGGGATAGAGCCTTGCCTGGGTCTCTCTGCTCAGTGGGGAGTCTGCTTGTCTCCCTTTACCTCTGTCCCTGACCCCACTTGTGTGCACGCTCTCTCAAAGAAATAAATAAAATTTTAAAAGTCCATTTTGAGATGGCACTTTTATATTTTTAAGTACTTGTATTAACTTCTAAATTTTTGTTCTTAAAAAAAATTTTTTTGTTCTTTCCATTTGTTTCTGTGTCTCCTTTTGTGCCCATAACACAGTGTTTTAGATACAGAGGCTTTATAATGTGCTTTAATATCTGAAAGGACTAATTCCTGTTTATGGCTCTTTTCCTTTCTACACAGTATTCTGTATATTTTTTACGATATGAATTTCAGAGTTGTTTTTTTTTTTGTTTTTGTTTTTGTTTTGCTTAAAGAAAAAAATCATGTTGTTTGTGTTGGGATTGTGCTAAATTTCTATGTTAATTTAAGAAGAGTTGACATCCAGGCACCTGGGTGTTTCAATAAGTTGAGTGTCTGCCTTCAGTTCAGGTCATGATCCCAGGATCCTGGGATCAAGCCCAGCATCGGGCTCCCTACTCAGTGTGGAGTCTCCCTCTCCCTCTCCCCCTGCCTCTCCCCCTTGCTCATGTGCTCTCTATCAAATAAATAGATAAAATCTTTTTTTAAAAATTGACTTCCACAAACACTTCCACTTGTTCACATCCATGTTCAGAGGTGTGCTGAAGCCTTTCTTAAATGTTTTTTTTACATATCCTGTTATGTTTATTTCCGGAATTGTATCTTATCTGTTGCTATTGTAAATGGGGTTTTCTCTTCTGCCTGGTTATGTTAGAATACCCTTTAATTTTGTATGCTCATTTTCTATTCTCTCTTACTAAACCTGTTTCATTGTTTGCATCCTTGATTCTCTTGGATGTTTTAGGTATATTACATATCATCTGCTAATAGAGATAGTTTTGTATCTTCTTTTCCAATTGCCAGGTTTCTTGTTATTTTCCTTCTAAAAAAAACTGCATAGGGCCATACTTCCAATATAGTATTAAACAGTAATGGAAGTAAATGAGGCTTCTTGCCTTGTTCTTGACCTTAGAGGGAATGACATAGTGTCGCCCTATTAAGAAGCTGGCTTTGGGGATTACCAGGCTATACTTTTCCAAATGTCTGTGTGAAGAATGGATATTAAATTTTGTTAAGATCCTTAAAAGCTGAAGACAACTTATGAAGATAAATAACTTTTCTCTTTGATGAAGAACATACAGTGAAAGAATATTGAAAAATATAAATGGAGTTTAAGAAGCATAGAATAAGACTTTTATATATCTGTAAGGAGAGGAGTTAGAGATTAGAAGAGACAAAATAGTTTTTTAAATGTCTGAGAATTTTCCTAAAATAGTAAAAGTTACTCTACATATTTAGAAAGACAAGAATAACCTAGACATGATTAAGAAAAGTAATCTAACACTTGGTTATGTCACTGTGAAATTGTGGATTCCAAAGAAAAGGGGAAGTAAAATGACAATTTCATTATGAATCAAGGAATTATAATATAAGACAAAATGAAATACCACTTCACAATCTCCAAGTGACAAAATTAACACAACACCCTGACAATGGTAAAGATGTGGAACAATAGGAACTTATAGAAACAGCTGTTGAAAGTTCAAATTTAGAATTTAGAAATAGAAGTTAGAAAGCAATTTGATATTTCCTAGCAAAAAATACCCTATGACACAGAAATTCCACTTCTAGAGAAATAGTACACATATGAACAGATTTGTACAAGAACAGAATAGCATCATTTGCAATAGGAAAAAAAAGGAAATAGACCAAATAGCTATTTTGAGGAGAATTTGCTAGTTTATATTATATTCTTACATAGTGAGATATAATATGCAGCCATGACAAAAAATGCAATAAAACAATATCACATACAACTACATGCATAAATCCTTAAAACAGGTTTTTAAAATATTGAAAATTACAGAAGAATGTATACAGTATTATATAAAGTTGAAAAACAGCCAAATTCAACAATATATTTTTAAGGGATGGAAAGCTATTTTCAAAGCAAGGAAATGATGAACACAATTTTTTTGGGGTGGGGGTAAGAAAACGATTTATTCAATGACAGAGGTATGGTTAAAGTAAACCAATACATATTACATTGCTATCAAAATTACATTCTGAATACTATATAGCAAGAATGAAAATTATATGTGAATTAAATGCTATGAAAATTGAGATGTAGCTACTATTAACATTTTTTATCTCTACTGTATTTTTTTACATTTGTTTCTATTTAAGTTCGATTTGCCAACATATAGTATAACACCCAGTGCACATCTCAAGTGCCCGTCACCCAGTTACCTCATCTCCCCACCCACCTCCCCTTCAGCAATCCTTTGTTCATTTCCCAGAGTTAGAAGTATCTCATGGTTTGTCTCTCTCTCTAATTTTTCCCACTCAGTTCCCCTCCTTTCCCTTATAATCCCTTTCACTACTTCTTATATTCCACGTATGAGTGGAACCATATGATGATTGTCCTTCTCCGATTGACTTACTTCACTCAGCATAATACCCTCCAGTTCCATCCACATTGAAGCAAATGATGGGTATTCACCCTTTCTAATGGCTGAGTAATATTCCATTGTACATATATAGACCACATCTTCCATATCCATTCATCTGTTGAAGGACATCATGGCTCCTTCCACAGTTTGGCTATTGTGGACATTGCTGCTATAAACATTGGAGTGCAGGTGTCCTGCTGTTTCACTGCTTCTGTATCTTTGGGGTAAATCCCCAGCAGTGCAATTGCTGGGTCATAGGGTATCTCTATTTTTAACTCTTTGAGGAATCTCCACTCTCT